CCTTTGGTCATTTAACACAAAATTAATCGGACTCTGTTGCACATTTCCATTGCATACTGTATCTTATCAAACAGAAGCAATAAACCTTTTTAACTGTTATAGATAATTTGATAAATAAAGTATTAAAAGACAATCAATTGTTTAGTTGGCGCTGCAGATAATGTTTCCTTCTTGAGTGTCAGTTACAAACTGGAGATGGCCAGACATGACATTGGTTTGCTGGACTTAAGGAGCTGTCATTGTGTGTGTTTCGGGCCAGAGCAGTGGTTTAATAACCTCCAGTTGTAGGAGCTGTAAGCGTCAGGGGCTCTGTGTGGTCGCTGTTAGTCGGTGACCGTGTGTTGTTAAAAAGCTAACTTTTCAAATGGAGTCCTGTACTGTGTGTGAAGACTCGGCTGTGTGGTGTTAGCTGACCTGCTACATGAGTAGTGGATGCAGTTTCCGTGGCAACCGCACACCTACAGCTCCATATGAAACGCAGCCGGTTGCTGTTGGTAACGCTTCCTACAATGAAATCCATCGCTGAACAACAGAAAGAAGAGGGAGAGCCTAATAAAACCATAGAGGAAGTGACTCATGTTAAAGGAAGAGCACCAAAAACAGGAAAACAGTCATGCTCCCGTTCTGTCTGTCTGTAGGGAGGTCAAAGGTCAGAGTTTCTGTCTGAAACTCAAAGAAACTACAGAAAAATATGCAGAGAAACAGAAATAAGAGCTTCTGAGTCCCGCCAAGGCATCGAGAACTCATCGGACCCGAGAAAGGTCTGTCTGGGCGATAGTATTTCAGCAGCAGTACCAGGTTTACAGGTTTGCTGCTTAGAGAGGGGCCCAGAGGGAGATGGACTCAGTTCTGATGCAGAAATCTGCTTTTATACAAGACACAGAGGAGCAACAGCAGCATGACTCATAATGATAATAATATACTTAAGTAAAAAATCAAGTCAAAATAGACAATGCCATAAAAAAGTGATGTTTGTTTATCAGCTCAGCAAAGCATCCTGACAGTAAAGTCTGCCCTGGTGGGTAATCTGATCGGCTGTTTGAGAGCACACACACACAGAGAACAAACACACACACAGAGAACAAACACACACACAGTCTGAGCTGCTTCTGTAAATACAGCTCAGAGCTCTATGCTCAGGCCAAAGTGCCTCGTTGTCCTTGACTGGACCAATCACAGGAGGCCCCGCCTCCGCTGGCTCTAGATGGCTGACATCAGAGGTGTGACATCTGATTGGTCAGAAGGTGTAATTAAATCTTACAGGAAGGGGAGCAGTGATTAGGGCAGTGTTTCCTGTTAGAGAGCACGTTAATCATGTTTACAGAGTTAATTGAGTTGGCTAAGAGAGGCAGCTGACAGAGATCCATCTGAGTCTAGTCCCGCAGCATCGGTTACAGCCAACCAGGCTCTCTGAGCACATCACCAGCCAATCACAGAGCGGTACTAACGGGCTGCAGGTGCAGAAGGTACTCAGATCCTTTACCTAAAAGTCAAAGTACCAGTATACCAGTATACAAATACACCATTACAAGTACAAAAATACTCCAGTGAACTACAGGACTCTCATGTTTATTATAGTTTTTATTTATGCCAACTGAAAAAAACGTAGGTTTTAGGTCGACCTAAAGCCAAATCCAGTATTTTTCATCTTACTGAGAATCTGCACTGACATTCATGCCAACTCTATTTCCTTTATATTTGATTAAAATAGCACCTTATTTGTTTTTCTGTCTTCATAGCGCACCTGTGTGCCACTGTGTGGTGAACCTGCGTGCGCCTTGACAGTAAAGTGAGTTTCTAGTAAAGTCTCCTGACAGGAAACATCTTATTATTAGAACTATAACCCTTTTATTCAGAAGTGTGTCATTAAAAGTAGATGTTACTGTGCAACATGTGACAGTGAAACTAAATGTTAATGCCCTTTATTAGTGCAGTTAAGGCCACACAGCAGCACCAGACTTTACTTCACAGCTGACTTTTATGTTTCCTATGACTTGTAATGTCAAGGTCAAAGGTCAAAGTGTATATTTGTCATATGCACAGTTAGGAAACGTGTTTCTCTGTACAATGAAATTCTTACTTTGCCGTCCACATGAATGCCACAAAATACAAATGAAATATAAAGTAGATAAATAAGTAACACAAAATCTAAGGCACTTTAAGCAGCAAATGCAGCA